GATGCTGCCTGGCCCGCTGTGCTCCTCCAGCTCCACACTGTGTTATCTCTGACTCCAGCATCGGCAGTTCTTACTATCTCTTCTTAATACATTACCTGTACGAAAGTTTACTTGTGGATTGAATTGTGAAAATGGCATAGAACATAAGAACTAGGAGCAGGAGTAGGCCATCTGGCCACTCGAGCCTGCCCCGCCATTCAATAAGATCACGGCTGATCTTTTTGAGGCTTAGCTCCACTTACCTGCCCACACACCATAACCCTTAATTCCTTTACTGTTCAAAAATTTATCTAGCCTTGCCTTAAACACATTCAGCGAGGTAGCTTCAACCGCTTCACTGGGCAGGGAATTCCACAGATTCACAACGCTTTGGGTGAAGACGTTCCTCCTGACCTCAGTCCTACATCTGCTTCACTTTATTTTGAGGCTATGCCCCCTAGTCCTAGTTTCACCTGCTAGCGGAAACAACCTCCCTGCCTCCACCTTATCTATTCCCTTCATAATCTTATATGTTTCTATAAGGTCTCCCCTGATTCTTCTGAATTCCAATGAGTATAATCCCAGCCTACTCAGTCTCTCCTCATAATCCAACCCTCTCAACTCTGGAATCAACCGAGTGAATCTCCTCTGCACCCCTTCCAGTGCTAGTATATCCCTTCTCAAGTAAGGAGACCAAAGCTGCACACAGTACTCCAGGTGTGGCCTCACCAGGACCCTATACAGCTGCAGCATAGCCTCCCTGTTTTTAAACTCCATCCCTCGAGCAATGACAGACAAAATTCCATTTGCCTTTTTAATTACCTGCTGCATCTGCAATCCTACTTTTAGCGATTCATGCACAAGGACACCCAAGTCCCTCTGCACAGCATTGTGCTGCAATTTTTAACCATTTAAAACATAGTCCATAGATGTAAATATCTTATAATAGTGTAGCATAATTAGGTCATTTCTGTCTGTTTAAAAAAAATGAGAGGGGATCTCATTGAAACCTCAGATTCTGAAGGGGCTCAATATGTTTTGCTTGGTTGGGACATCCATATCGTAAGGGACACCCATATCATGAGGACACAGCCCTAGGATAGAGCATTAATCATTTAGAATTGAGATGAGGAAAAACTTCTTCATTCACAGGAATATGAATCTTTGGAATTCTCAGGCTGAGCATTGTGGATGCTCCATCGCTGAACTTATTGACAGCTGAGATAGCTTTGTGATCTCTCAGCAAACTGAGGGATATGTAGAAACAGGCAGGACTGTAGAGCTGAGACAGAAGATCAGCCATGATTGAATTGAATGGTGATATCAGCTGTGTGCAGTTTTCTGAAAGGTCAGTGGGCTACTTTGACAAATGGAATCTGGTGCTCATAGAGGCACAAGGAACATAGGTCACTGTCAATGGCTGGTGGTGGTAGCAGAGATGGGGATGGATCTGTGGAGTAAAGGAGCAGCTGGCACAGAGTCAAAAAGCAAAGCTCTGTTGGGCTGGAGTCTTTTTTTCCTTTATTCATTCACAGGATGAGGGTGTCATTGGCTAGGCCAGCATTTATTGCCCATCCCTAATTGCCCAGAGGGCAGTTATGAGTCAACCACATTGCTGTGGGTCTGGAGTCACATGTAGGCCAGACCAGTAACGATGAGAGTTTCCTTCCCTGAAGGGCATTAGTGAACCAGATGGAATTTTCCCAACAAGTCGCAATGGATTCATGGTCATCATTAGACTCTTAATTCCAGATATTTATTGACTTCAAATTCCACCATCAGCCATGGCAGGATTCAAACCCAGATCTCCATAATATTACCTGGGTCTCTGGATTAACAGTCCAGTGATAATACCATTAGGCCATTGCCTCCCACTTGCAGTCTTAGTAACATCCTTGTAAATCATTTTCGCAACCTTTCAAGTTTAATAACATTCTTCCTATGGCAGGGTGACCAGAATTGTATGCAGTACACCAAATGTGGCCTTAAGAATGTTTTGTACAGCTGCAACATGACGTCCTGACTCCTGTATTCAATGTTCTTCTAAACCTCTCAAAACCATCATCAATTATCTCAAATTTGCAGGAGCAATCATGGTGGAGTGGGGGAAGTGGTGCTGGATTTGTGAGACTTTGTGAGCCTGATTAGCATCTCTAAATTGGGCTTATTTAACACTAATTGTTCAGGCTTCCTGTTTGGTTACAATATGGCAACAAAGCAGCCACCATTACAAACCACTACAAATGTGTAAAAAACATAAATACAGTGTACTTTGTAACTAAATGCTACAACCTATCAACAAACAAGCCAAAGTTATGTATTATACATTACAATTAAATGTGATCATAAAAGCCAAAATATGGAACTTTCAGTGCCATTTTTCAAACTAAATGTACCTCTACCATTCTAAACCCATTGCCTGTTTTGTTTCTAATTTTTGGCATTTCCACAGATTTAAATTATATGAATATAATCAGTTAATAAATACATAACAGAAATATCATCCCTATTCAAAAGGTGAGTCTCACAGAAAATAAGAACAACTGGCAGCACAGTGGTTAGCACTGCTGCCTCACAGGACCAGGGACCTGGGTTCAATTCCACCCTCAGGCAACTGTCTGTGTGGAGTTTGCACATTCTTCCTGTGTCTGGGTGGGTTTACGCTGGGTGCTCTGGTTTCCTCCCACAGTCCAAAGATGTGTAAGTTAGGTGAATTGGCTATGCTAAATTGCCCATAATATCCAGGGATGTATAGGTTAGATGTGTTAGCCATGGGAAATGTAGGGTTACAGGAAAAGGGTAGGGAGATGGGTCTGGGTGGGATGCTCTTTGGAGGGTTGGTGTGGACTTGTTGGGTCAAATGACCTGTTTCCACATTGTAGGGATCCTGTGAGGAAACTCAGGAGATCAGGCAATATCTGTAGACAGAGAAACAAAGCTAACATTTAAGGTCAAGACCTTTCATCAGAACTGAACAGAAATAGAAACATAAGGGTTTACAAGCCAGTGGAAGGGGGAGTGGGCTGGATGAACAAAGGATCTGTGATGTGGTGGTTGTTTTTGTTCTCACAGAAAATACATTTTATAAACAAGTGAACATGTTCTAAAACATTTTGAGGTTTTTTTAAAAGCTATATTTCAACACTGCATGAAGCTTCCATTGCTTTATATTTTGTTTTCTTTATCTGTACTCATACAGTTAAGTGGGGAGCATTCCATCACACTCCTGGCTTGTGCCATATAGAAAGTGTAAGGGCTTTGGAAATCAGATCATTTACTCGCCACAAAATTTGCAGCCTCTGAGCTGTTCTTGTGGTACCTTATTTATGTGGCCAGTCGGTTCTTTGGTCAATGGTAACCTCTTGAATGTCAAAGGTAGTGGAATTCAACACTGGTAAAGTCATTGACCATTAAGGAGACGGAAATAGATTCTCTCTCTCTCTCTGTGTATATAAAGGAACAGAAAATGCTGAAAGTACTCAGCAAATCTGAGAGAGATGTGTTGAAATTTACCTTTCAGGTCAGTGACTTCTCATCAGAACTGTGTTTTAGCCCAAGAGAGCCTACTTGTATTAATGGGACTAGAAATCAAGCCAATGCACTCCTAATCAAAAATGCTTAAAACCAGTTGTGATATATTTTGACAAAAAAAGACCAGCTCCATTCTGCAGCAACTAAAAATCAATAATCCAACTACAGTCAAGTTCCAAGTCGAGTCCACACTGAAGCGGTTGGTAGCCCACAGAAGAAGCAATTGGTGATAGTGAAGAAAGTCAGCAAGATGCAAAGCTTTGTGGGAACCTTGAGGGCGATGTCATATCTGCTTCTGATACCCTTCTAGGTGGTAGAGGTAGTGGATTTAGAAGGTGTTGCCAAAGGAGCCTTAGTGACTTGTTACAGTGCATCCTGTAGATGGCATACACTGCTGCCAATATGCATTGTCAGTGCAAGGATTGAATATCAAAAGAGATGGATCAGACACCAAACAAGCAAGCTACTTTATCCTGGATGGTGCTTAGCTTTGAACATTGCTGGAAAGTCTTCCATTACACTCCTGAGTTTTCCCTTGGTGTAAAAATGAACATTTACTTGGGAACATTTAAGAGATAGTCATTGCCTGGCAATTATCATGTGCAAAAGTAACATGCCAAGCCTCTCTAGAACAACTGCTAGTTTACCTAAAATAAACTTCTCCATCACAAGTACTGCCGACCGATTGACACTCCACCAGCTGCTTCATCCTATAACAGACATTTTCAAAGTTTCCACGAACTGAAGGCGGCGCCACCCATGAAGCCTGCCGGGATGTGTAGTTCCTTCTGCTTGCCCGGCCGTTGCCGCTGGCTCTAGAGTTGGGGTTAGGGAACTACGAATCCCGACATGTCCCGCCGCACCGTTACCAGGGCAAAGGCAAACATGGCGGAGGAGCAGAGAGTAGCCGGAGCCGCGGTGTCGGAGACTAAATCTCCTCCTCCGCTGCTCGTGAGGTCCTCGAGTGTCAGCCTCTTCAGTGACTGCGTCCAGCAAGGGGTCCAGCAGCTGCTACCGCTCAAGTTCGACAAGAACATTAAGCAGGCGTTTTACAACACGGGCGCGTTGATATTCGTGGCCATCTCGTGCGGTGCCGCTGTGCTCGTTTACTTTATCCTGGAGGCGTTCCTGCGGCCGCTGTTGTGGGCTGTGCTCTGTGGCACCTTCTTGCATCCTTTCAAGACTACCCTTACTAACCTGGTGAGGAAATGGCTGGGCAGCCTCCAGGAGTCCGGCACGCCCATCGTCTTGGCCACCCTCATGTTGCCCATCTCGTTCGTCAATCACGGCGTGGAGATGTTGGGTAACCAGGTACTGCTGAAGCGCAAACTGCTGCTGGTGTTGGCCATCGGCGTTCCCGTCCTCTACCTCCTGTACTGCTTCAGCACCTGGGTGGGACTACAGCTGTTACTCACTCACACAGGGCAGTTTATCTCCTTAGCGCTCGAGTATTTAAATACGTTGTGGGTAGGTTGAAAACGTCTGTTTCCCCTCTTTTAACAATATTTATGAATAATTGTAGAGTGTAAAATAATGCAAGTTGTTGCATTCAAGTTACAGTCTGCGATGGTAAGGAATGATGTATTCATGAATTGTCATTTGTGAACAGTGTTGGCAAGGATCTGAATAGTAGAGGTTCACGCAGGCTTTGTTTCACTAAGAAAACAGAACTGCTGATGCTGGAAATCAGAAACAGAAATTACTGGTAAAAACTTAGCATATGTGGCAGAATCTCAGTCATACAGCATAGAAACAGACCCTTTGCCCAACTTGTCTGTGCTGACTAGACATCCCAATCTGACCGAGTTTCATTTGCCAGGATTTGGCCCATATCCTTCTAGATCTGTGTTTCTCCAGCATTTGCCATTATTGTTTCAGACATCCAGCATCTGCAGTTGGGTTTTATTTTAATGAATGAATCAGACAAGGTGATTAAATGCAGTTATTTCAGCAAAACGTCAAAGGAGGGGAAATAAAAGCAAGATGCCAAAGAATTTTGTAGACAGTTCCAAAAAGTAAAACCTACATGGTTAAAAGCTCTCCTTTTCTATACTGAAAACTGGGTTTGTGTGTTTTGAGGGGCCAGAATGCAGTAATGATACAGGGGACATTAAACAAAATGTGAGCCAGCAACCGTTACTGTATCTCTTAAAGACGTCACAGAATTCCTCTGACTTTATTGCAGTAATGAACCTTGTGTGTTCTACAGGTTGTGGAGAGAAAGCAAAGCTAAAGTTTCAGGTCCAGTGACCCTTCTTCAGAACATTCTATTTTAGTTTCTGGAGCTTTGTTTAGTTTTAATTTAATGTGAAATTAGCCCTCGGAAATTGTTTTCATTTGACTGGAAGAGCGTATGGATAACTAATTGAGCTATCTATTTCTATAGCCTCCTGAAGTGAGTAGAGAAACTAAGTACCCACTAAACTCTATGTGGGCAGATTGACGAGATTTATTCCATGGGCTAGGACTCATAGCCACACTCTTATTCAGTCCATCTTCACCTTCCACTTCCAGAACAGATGGCTCCATCATATCCATGTCATGCAGATTTGATTGTGCAGTCTAGTGCTTTTGGGTTGGTGGTGCAAGATCTGGAATTGCATTTGAGTACGTCCAGGTTGCCTGTGACAATTCCACTTATTTTCTGCAGTGTTGAAGTCTCATCAGTACTGTCATGTTACTGGCAGAAATAAACCTCTGGAATTTGATGCTAGGCATGTCCACCCTTTGGATATTGAGAAAGGTCTGCATGAGCACCTATTCCTGTAACAAACCGTTTTCACTGCTATAATTCAGCTGGCCTCTTCCCAAGATAAATGTGTAATTCATGGTTGTTCATTATGATTTTGCTAACCAAAGAGTTTAGTGGCATGACAAATAGTTTAAAGTTTCTGAAGTGTCACGCTGGACTGTGTATGCTGATGACAAGATTATAAAGATAGCTCCATTCATCTGCTGCTCCTGGAACCCTGTCTCAAATTTGGAGTAAATGCAAGGACCTGGTCAGAGCCGCAGCTTCCTTCTCTGAAGCCTACCTGATTTTTCAGGAGGGCAGTTTCTAGAGTCACTTCTCTTTGGTTGAGGATGAGCAGTTCAAACACTTTGTAAGACCATATGAAATAAGAACAGGAGCAGGCTGTTTGGCCCCTCAAGCCTGCTCCGCCATTCAATAGGATCATGGCTGTTCTGACAACTTTCTGACTTTCACTTTCCTGGCCTGTCCCCATAACCCTTGACTCCAACACTTACCAAGAATCCATCTATCTTAAATATACATAAGGACTCTGTTCCTACAGCTCTCTGTGGCAAGAAGTTCCAAAGACACTCAACTCTCTGAGAGACTAATTCATGCTTATCTCAATCTTAAATTGGCACTACTTTCAGTTTTGTTAAATTGGCACCTCTTTATTCTGAGACTATGCTCCCAGGTCCTAGAATTTCCAACGAGGAGAAACATCCTCTCAGCATTTAGCCTGCCAAGCCCCTTAAGAATCTTGTCTCAATAAGATCATGTCTCTTTCTTCTAAACACTACCCATTAGAGTCTCAAGCTATTTAATCTTTGTTCTTAAGACAATCCCTCCATACCACGGATCAACCTAATGAACTTTCTCTGAATTGCTGCAGAGGGTGATGGAGCAGTGACATTTAAAATCATAGACTGGTCTTGCCAGCTACACGACAAAAGTTTTTGGAATGGCACCAAATTTCTGGGATTAACCCAGAATGAAGGTTGTTGCAGCTGAGTTGAACACTCTGCGTCCATCCATTTGACCCTGGTTCTTGTGAAATTTTTGGTAGCTGTTATAGATCCCAGCAGCTAGACTTAGTGAATTGATGTCAAAAGCACTTGCCAATTAACATCAAAACAGAATAGAACATACCACTGTCCCATTGCAGACTGAAAAAACATGAAAGCATCGAACATGTCTCTGGTGATTAAATAGGATAGTGTGGTCTATGGAGGAGACACATCATTCTTGTTGAAAGAAATTAGTCTGATTGGATTTTCTTTAAAGAAAAGTGAACACATGTAACTCTTGCCAGAACCTTCAAATATGGAACATGTAGAACAGGCCAAATAAATATTTCCAAATATACTCGGAGTTAAGATCTCTCTCAGTCTAAACTTGACTGAACATTTTCCTATCATCTTAGTCATTTGTCTGTTAAGTTACTGATGCAAAAATTGTGTAGTACTGAGTTCCATAAAATTATATAGAATTTACAGCGGAGAAATGCAGTTCTGGCTTGATTGATCTATGCCAATGATTGTGTGCTTTTCACAATACTCCCCCTCATCTAAACTATTTCTCAAATTTACCCTTCGCCATATCCTTCTGTTCCCTTCTGTCTCAAGTTTACATTAAACTTTCTATTTTTAATTGCTTAAATACTACCCATATACAAACACATGAATTGGGAGCCAAGATAACCATTCATCCCTTTGTGAGACTGTATAAGTAGGAGTAGAAATAGGTCATTTGGCCTATTGTCTTCTCTGCCCTTCATTGAGATAATGACTGATAATTCTCAAACCAGTTTCCTGTCTTATCCTCAGTCCTTGACTCCCTTACTGATTAAGAATCTAATTACTTCTGGCTTAAAAATGTTCAATGACTTTGCTTCCATCATATTTTGATTAAAAGAGTTCCAAAGACTCATGGCTTTCTGTGAGAAGCAATTCTGCTCACCTCTCTCTTTAATGGACAACTTATTACTTTTAAATAACAACCTCCTTGTTCTAGAATCTTCTACAAGAGGAAACATTCTTTTCACATGCAACTTGCCAAGACCTTTCCATTTCAACCATTCCATGTAGTGGCAAGATCCAAATTTTCCTCACCCTGTGTGCAATGACATTACTTCTATAGTCTCTGTTCTATTGGTTCCTGGCTATCTTTTCTGTGTTTTCATTGTCAAATGGGAATTGTGAACATTCACTGTATCAAGTTCTTTCAAAACTTTATCTCTCCTATGTGCAATCTGTTTTGTCTGTTTTTTTTTGAGAAATCTGCCTGCTCAGTCTCTCCTGAGCTTTGCATCGCCCCAACTCTGACTGTATCCTGGAGGTGAAATAAAAATATTCTTAGCTTTGACCCATTCCATTTGCTGCGTTAATTTGCTTTAGTTAGAAATGTCACAGTTGATCTCATTCTCCTGCGCTTAGGAGGAATAAATCAGTCAGGAAGGTCCTTATGATCCAGATGAACCTTGCAGAGTGTGTGTATATATGAGAAGTGAGGAAAAGATCTGACTTAGTTTTTGGAACTATGGAGAACCCTGAGGATACCTTGATTATATTCAGTAATCTAGTATTTGTTGTTGAAACTAAGGCATAAGAAATGTCCATTAAATGACCAAAGGTTGTGATCTCAAAACAGGTCTTTTCCCCAGGATGGGGAGTCCAAAACTAGAGGGCATAGGTTTAAGGTACAAGGGGAAAGATTTAAAAGGGACCTAAAGGGCAACATTTTTATACAGCGGGTGGTGCGTGTATGGAATGAGCTGCCAGAAGAATTGGTGGAGGCTGGTACAATTACAACATTTAAAAGGCATCTGGATAGGCATATGAATAGGAAAGGTTTAGAGGGAAATGAGCCAAATGCTGGCAAATGGGACTAGATTTGTTTACAATAGTTGGGATGACGAGTTGGACCGAACGGTCTATTTCTGTGCTGTATATCTCTATGACTCTAAAGAATTATGTCACCAGGTTTAATATTTTAAAGACAGAACTTGTTTTATGCTGGAAGATTTAAACAAACACTACCAACCTAGCAATATATTTAATGAATAATTCTTCTTTAAACCTGAAACTCTCAATATATTACTTCTTAAAAGATTTCTACCAAAGCATCCCTCTATACTTTGCAGGAGCTTTAGAGTTCCTTTACTTGTGGAGATTTCTTGGGATCTTCCCATGAGTATTCAGTTAAGTGATCCTCTGACTCTTTGACTATCGCAGGATTATGTACACCTCTGGTCAAGCATGGACCTTGCTGCACTGTTGCTTCCTGCGTCTGGAAAATTCTCTCGCGCTCCCTCTCTGATTTACAAAGCTGTTCATAGATTTCACACTGCCTGCTTCTGTGGGAACATGGACAATAGAAGCAAGAGTAGACCATATGACCTTTTGCCTCCTTTGCCATTCAGCACAATCATGGATGATTTTGGGTTTCAACTCCACTTTCCACCCTGCTCCCTATATCTCATTTGAAATAAAGGGGGTGAATTCATCACACAAGTATACATAAACAGGTGTGATATAGTTGGGATAACGAAGACATGTTTGCAGGATGACCAGGGACGGGAACTGAACATGCAGGGGTTTTCTGTATTTAGGAAGGGCAGACAAAAAGGAAAAGGCAGTGGAGTTGCATTACTGGTTAACAAGGATGAAAACACAATATTGAGGAAAGATATTAGCTCCGACAAGGTAGAGTCTATATGGGTAGAACTGAGAAATCCCAGTGGGAGTGGTATGTAGACCAACAAACTGTAGTGGTAATGTTGGGAATGGCATTAACAGGAAATCAGATGCATGTGGTAAAGGAACATTTGTAATTATGGATGACTTTAATTTGCATGTGGGTGAATCAAATTAGTCACAATACCGTAGAGCAGGAATTCCTGCAGAATGGTTTTCTAGGCCAATACGTTGAGGAACCAATGAGAGAACAGGTCATTTTAGACTGAATATTATGCAATGAGAAAGGAATAATTGGGAATGTTGTTTTGAGAGACCTCTTGGGATGGGTGACCATAAATGTGATAGAATTCTTCATCAAGATGGAGAGTGAGGTAGTTGATTCTTAAACTAGGGTCCTGAATAAGGGAAACTGCAATGATATGAGGTGTGAATTGGCTATGATGGATTGGGAAATGTTACTGAAAAGACTGACAGCGGATAGGCAATGGCAAAGAGCAAATAGGTGATCTACAAAAATTGCATTCTTGCGCCAGACAGGAATGAACTTGGAGAACAGTGGTAAAATCTTGATTTAGGATGGAAGTTACAGATAGCATTAGATGCAAAAAAAAGCATCCAAATTATAAACTTGAGTTTTTGGAACCGTTTGGAAGTAAGCAAAGGAGAACCAAGGGAACATAAGAACTGACTGGAAAAATTTTTGTACATATGTAATGGTAAAATGATTGCTGAAAACTAATGTAGGCCCCTTATGGTTAAAAACGAGGGAAGTTGTAATGGGGAACAAAGAAATGGCGGAAAACTAAATTTATGCTTCGCTTCTGTCATCACAAAGAAAGAGATGAATGTCGCACCACAAATGATGGGGAACACAGGATTTTGAGGGAGGAAGTGAAGCAAATCTCTTTACTATGAAAATGGTGTTCAAGAAATTGGTGTGACTGAAGGCTAATAAATCCACAAAGCCTGATTAATCTACAGCCCAGAGTACTTAAAGAAGTGGCCCTAGAAATATTGCTTGCCTTGGTGGTCATCTTCCAAGATTCTATAGACTCTGGAACAGTTCCTCCAAGTTGGCAGGTAGCTAATGTAACTCCAATATTTAAAAAGGCATGTAGAAAGAAAACCAGGAATTTTAGACTAATGAGTCTGATGTCAGTAGTGGGAAGATGCTAACGTCCATTATCAGGGATTTTAAAGTAGACATGGATTTATAAAAGGGAAATTATGCTTGATACATCCTTTTTGTAAATTTGTTAGAAGACAGGAAACAGAGTAGGAATAAATAAGTCTTTTTCTGAATGGGAGGTAGTGACAAGTCATGATCCAAGTTATTCACGATATGTTAATGATTTAGATGAGTGATCTAATGTAATATCTTAGTTTTACAGATGACACAAAGCTGGGTGGAAGGGTGAGCTGTAAAAGAATGCAGAGATATTGCAGTCTGATTTGGACAGGCTGAGTGAGTAAGCAGATGCATGGCGGATGCAGTATAATGTGGATAAATGTGAGATTTTTTTTTTGGTCGCGAAAACAGGAGGGCAGATTATTACTTGGCTGTAAATTGAGAGAGGAGAATGTTCAACGAGACCTGGGTGTCCTCATGCAGCAGTTGCTGTAAGTATATGCACAGGTGCAGCAGACAGAAAAGGAGGCAAACTATATGTGAGAGATAGCAAGAACTGCAGATGCTGGAGTCAGAGACAACACAGTATGGAGCTAGAGGAACACAGCAGACCGAGGAGCAGGAAAGTTGACGTTTTGGGTCAGGACCCTTCTTCAGAAATGGGCAGGGGTAAGGGAGATGGGAAATAAATAGAGGGGGGGGGTGGGGGGGCGGGGGAAAGTGGGTGGGATGATGATAGGTGAGTGTAGTAAGGGAGTGGTGGGGATTGGTCAGTGGGATGGATGGGGTGGATAGGTGGGAGAGAAGATGGACAGGTTTTATCAGGTCAAGGAGGTGGTGATGAGAGGGAGGCTTGGATATGGGATGAGCTGGGGGGGTGGGGAGGTTTTAAAACTGTTGAATTCCTTGTTTAGGCCATTGGGCTGTAGGCCTCCTAGGGGGACCTGGGAATTGGGAGTACCCACCCTCCTGCAAGAATGTGATCCCCTACTCCCAATTCCTCCATCTCCGCTGTGTCTGCTCCCAAGACGGGGTGTTCCGCTCCCGCACATCCCAGATGTCCTCGTATTTCAAGGACCGCAACTTCCATCCTCCGGTGATTGAAAATGCCCTCAACCGCATCGCTTGCATTTCCCGTGCTTCTGCCCTCACATTTCCTCCCCCAACAAAAATAAAGACAGAATCCCCCTTGTCTTCACATGTCACCCCACCAACCTCCGCATCCAACATATCATTCTCCGCCACCTACAATTCGACCCCACAACCAAAGAGATATTTCCCTTCCCACTCCTATCTGCCTTTCGTAGGTACCGCTCTCTCCACGATTCCCTTGTCTGCTTCACACTCTCCACTAACCCCATCACCCCCGGCACCTTTCCCTCCAACTGCAGGGAGTGCTACACCTGCCCCTACAATCTCCCCTCTAACTGCCATCCAAGGCACAAAATAAACCTTTCATATCAGACAGGGGTTCACCTGCACATCCATCAACTTGGTCTACTGTATCCGCTGCTCCCAATGTGGCCTCTTCTAGATCGGTGAGACCATGCGTAGAGTCTGAGATCGTTTCGTAGAGCATCTGCGCTCTGTACGTGACAAATGACAACACCTTCCAGTCACCAGCCATTTTAACTCTCCCTCCCACTCCCTGGGTGACATGTCCAATCTGGCCCTCCTCCAGTGTCACAGTGGCAACACCTCGTGTTCCTCCTCAGGAGCCTACAGCTCGATGGCCTAAACATGAAATTCACCAGTTTTAAAATCTCCCCACCCCAGGCCTCATCCCATATCCAAGCCTGCCTCTCATCCTGCCTCCTTGACCTGACACAACCTGTCTAACTTCTCTCCCACCTATCCAACCCACCCATCCCACTGACTGATCCCCACCACTCACTACCTGCACTCACCTATCACCATCCCACTTACTTTCCCCAGTCCCACCCCACCTCTCTCTCTATTTATTTCCCAGCTCCCTTCCCCCTCCCCATTTCTGAAGGGTCTTGACCTGAAACGTCAACTTTCCTGCTCCTCTGATGCTGCCTGGCCTGCTGTTTTCCTTCAAAGCGTGGGGATTCGAGGACAGGAACAGGATGTCTTGCTGCAGTTATCCAGCGTCTTGGTGAGAACACGCCTAGAGTATTCTGTGTAGTTTTGGTCTCTTCCTCTGAGGAAGGATGTTCTTGCTATTAAGGGAGTGCAGTGAATGTTTACCAGATTGGTTCTGGGGTGGCAGCACTGATGTATGAGGAGAGATTGAGTTGGTTAGGATCGTAATCACTGGAGTTCAGAAGAATGAGGGGGTTCTCATAGAAACTTTTAGATAGATAGACCTTTTTAGGACTGATTTGAGGAGAAATTTCTTCACGCAGAGTGGTGAGCCTGTGGAATTCACAACCACAGAAAGCGGTTGAAGCCAAAACATTGTGTTTTCAAGGTGATAGACACACCGTGACTAAAGGGATAGGGGGGGAAAGGTGGGATTAGAGTGGTGAGCTGGATGAGCAGCTGCGATCATACTGAATGGCAGAGCAGACTTGACGAGTCGAATGGCCTACTCCTCAAATTGTCTGTGTTTCCGTTTGTTCCTGAGCAACAACATAGCCTTGCCTGACCCACGTTTGCACATGTACTGGATCTGTGGTGGATCTACTGGTGAGGATCACGGCCAGTGTGTTGTGTGGCAGGTGGAGGATGGCGAGACCAACTCCGTGGAGTTAGATTCTTCTTTTGGTCCACCTTTCCAGAATAAGGTGGATCTGCTACCCTGTTCTTTTGAGCTAGTGTTATCCTGCCTGTCTTGTCCATGAGTCTTTATGTTATAGGCTCCAAATTTCATTTGGAGGGGGTGAAAGATGTCTGTGTTCCTTTAATGTGGGAAGACAGACCAAGATGATTGAAGACCAGGCTCCAGTGTATGGAGGGGATGAACTTGTACTAATTGCTGTTGCCCCCCCCACCCCTTCCAAAATAGTCTCAGGAGCCTACAGTCATTGCTTGCCTGACGGTCAGCATTGATTTGGAACACTAATCGTTTCAATGTAGCAAAGGCTGACTGACACAGGAGGCTGAATGCAGGTAAAAACTGTGTGAAGAGAGGCATAGTTAGTTAAATCAGCAGAGGTAGGGAGAGCAGTTTCAGAGTGAAAAACATCGTATGATGCATCTTTCCATGCCAATATCTTGACACAATTTGTTTAGGGACTATAACATTTTGAAGAGAGATCTGAATACCTCAGTTTAACCAATAGAATTAAGCAGTAAGATTTTGCTTTCTTTAAATAACACATAAATTTAATTTTATATGTAGAACAAATTGAACAAAGTAAGTTTATGTCCTTCAGGGAAGGAAATCTGCCATTTTCGCTCAGTCTGGTCTACATGTGACTCCAGATCCACAGCAATATGGTTGACTCTCTCCTGCCCTCTACAGTGGTCGAGCAGCCACTCATTTGTATCCGTCACTATGAAGTCTCAACAAAGAAGTGAAGCTGAATGCATCCCCTGGTGTTGACCTAGACACTGGAAAAAGCCCCATCAAAGTCATCTTTACTAGCATCTGGGGGCTAGTGCCAAAATTGGAAGAGCTGTCTGACAGTCTAGACAAGCAATAGCCTGACAATCATACTCAAGGAATCATACCTTACAGACAATGTCCCAGACATCATTGTGGCCATCACGTCCTGTCCCACCGGCAGGACAGACCCAGAAGAGGTGGCGGCACAGTGATATACAGTCGAGAGGGAGTTGCCCAGGGAGTCCCCAACTTTGACTTTGGACCCCATGAAATCTCTTGGCTTCAGGTTAAACATGGGCAAGGAAACCCCTTGCTGATTACCACATACTGTCCTCCCTCAGCTGATGAATCAGTACACCTCCATGTTGAACAACACTTGGAAGCACTGAGGGTCGCAAGGGCGCTAAATATACTCTGGGCAAAGAGTTTCAATATCTACTGCCAAGAGTGACTCGGCAGCCATGCTACTGATCGAGCTGGGCGGGTCCTAAAGTTCATAGCTCCTAGACTTGGTCTGTGGCAGGAGGTGAGGGAACCCACTCAACCATTCCTTTCAAGCCAAGAGATCAACCCTGGTTCAATAGAAAGTGCAGGAGCAGCACCAGACCTGCCTAGAAATGAGGTATCAACCTAGTAAAGCTACCGACAGGACTACTTGCATGCCAAACAGCAAATAATCGACAGAGTTGAATGATCCCACAACCAATGGATCAGATCTGAACTCTGCAATCCTTCCATATCCAGTCATGACTGGTGGTAAACAATTAAAAAAGTAAGTGGAAGAGGAAACTCCTCAATGATGGAAGAGCCCAATACATCTGTGCAAAACATAAGGCTGAAGCATTCACAGCAATCCTCACCAGAATTGCTAATTGGATGACCCATTTCGGCCTACTCCAGTGTTGCCGAGGATCACCAGTACCAGTCTTCAGCAGATTTGATTTGATTCACTCCATGTGCTATTAAGAAACAGTTGGAGGCACTGAATACTGCAAAAGCCATGGGACTTGACAACATTCCAGTAATAGTACTGAAAACTTGGGTTCCAGAACCTGCTGCTCCCCTAGCCAACCTCTTCCAATGAAGTTACAACACTGGCATCTATCTGATTAACGTGGAAAATTGCCCAGGTATGTCCTATACACACAAAGCAGGACAAATCCAACCCAGTCAACTACCATCCCATCAGTCTACACTCAATCATCAGTAAAGCGATGAAAGGTATGATTAATAGTGCTACAAAGTAGCATTTGTTCAGCAATAACCTGCTCAGTGATGCCCAGTTTTGGTTCCACCAGGGCCACTCAGCTCCTGACCTCGTTACAGCCTTGGTTCAAACATAGACAAAAGAGCGGAATTTCATAAGTGATGACCAAGGCTGCATTTGATCATGTAGCATCAAGGAACCCAAGCAAATCTGGAATCAATGGGTATCACAGGGCTAACTCTCCACCAGTTGGACTCATACCTGGCACATAGGAAGATGATTGTCATTTTTGGATGTCGATCATCTCTGCTCCAGGACCCCTCTGCAGGAGTTATTCAAGATAGTGTCCTAGGCCCAGCCATCTTCAGCTGCTTCATCACTGACCTTTCCTCCATCATAAGGTCAGAAGTGGGGATGTTTGGGGATGATTGTACCATGTTCAACACTATTCACAACTCCTCAGAAACTGAACCAGCCCATGTTCAAATGTAACGATCTGGATGACATCCAGTCTTACGCTGACAAGTGGCAAGTAACATTTGCACTACACAAAGGCTAGGCAATATCCATCACCAACAAGAGAAAAACAAACCACTGCCCCATGACATTCAATGGTGTTACCATCACTGAATCCCCCAATTGTCAACAGCCTGGGGTTGTCTTTGATGAGAAACTCTACTGGACTCGGCACATAAAAAATAGTAGCTATGAGAGCAGGTCAGAGGTTAGGAATACTGTAGTGAGTAACTTACCTCCTGACTCCCCAAAGCCTGACCATCATTTATAAGGCACAAGTCAGGAGTGTGATGGAATGATCCCACTTGCGTGGATGGGTGCAGCTCCAGTGACACTCAAGAAACTTGATACCATCCAGAACAAAGCAGTTTGCTTGATTGGCACTACATCCACAAGCTTCCAGTCCCTCTACAACTGATGCTCGGGAGCAGCAGTGTGTACTACCTACAAGATGCACTGCAGAATTTCACCAAAGATCCTTGGCA